CCCCAAAACCCCAAAACCCCAAAACCCCAAAACCCCTTGTGATAATTTTTAAGTTGAATTAAGGCTCAAAACATGGTTCGTTCATTATTTGTTTATTCGATGATTTATATGGAATCCAAATAAGCGAGATTGAAGTTGTTTGTGATGAGGAGATCATCAAGCAACTCTTCATTTTCTAAAGGATAAAAATCCAAATGTTTTAGAGAATCCTTGAAATCTGTGGATTTTGAAAAGCCTTGGATGAGAGATTCAATTCCATCAAAACCTTTCCCTGTCATTGATGGTCCAATAATAGAGCATTTATTGAACTCCAATTTTGAAATAGTACTTCGATCTAGAGATCTAGTGAAATCAGGGATTTCCTCAGCATTAAGAATTCAGCTAGTGAATTTGAGACTCCGTTTGTTTTTGTTCTCAGAGAAAAGTCTCATAAGTGAAGGCCTGCTGATTTTTAGTTCTCACAAGCCTAAATATGATGTTACCTTATGGCTAGCATTCGAGATCTCTCGGCGATATCTCTCAATTATCTTGTTAGATCTTTGAGTATTGAAAATTTCTAATCCTCTCACTTTTCTTGGGAAAGAATTCATCAGAAAGGTCTTAAGAGCAGGAAAATTTCTCTTGGTGATATTGATGATGTTTATGTGCAAAAGATCTCAAAGAGGCAAAATCCTCAAGGCCTTTAGTAGTAATTTGTGCTTTTGAAGTTTCATGTCAATAGTAATAATGGAATTCTTCCCTAGCTTTGAGTTCAAGATTCTTTCATAAAGATTAGAGCAGGCTATATATAGTTGATCTCTTCAGTTTGATGCATAACCTCCCTCTCCTGAGATATCAATTCCTCAAATTTGGCATCATATGGATCATTAAAGAGAGTTAAAAATGCTAAATCTTAATTCCTTTTGATGCCCAAAGGGACTTGTCCTGACTCTCTTTGGAAGATACCTATTTTAAGTTTAGAAGATTTTATTTAAAATTTAGACTCAACTTCTGTTCCGTTAAATAATATTTAGACTCAAAAACTAAAGATTTATTTGTCTCACAGGATTATTCTGAGATCCCACTCTAGCAAAGAGGATCAAATATGATTATAATTTCAGTCTTCTTAAAGATGAATTTTGGTTGAACCTTACACTGAGTGTAATAAAAATTGAGATACAAGAAGAATCTGTGCGAATTATAAAATAACGCTTCTAATTTTCTTATATTCGCTCATAAAAGCTTGTTCATTTGTCATAAAGAAAGAGGTATATTTTAAAACCTGCATGATTTATAAAACGATATCAGAATCTTCTAGTTAAATTTTGGGAAACTCCAATAACAGGGCTTACAACTTCTCTATCGGAATTACAAGACTCTTCTATAGAGATATGTGGTTGGCTCTCACTCATGATATGCTTAGCTTTCTCCAAGTTGTCACTGAGTTCAATCTCGAGGGCTGCTCACAGATTTAAGTATTTAGTATCTGCAATTCCAACCTTATTAGGTTGAAAGGTATTCAGCTTATTTTTGAGATTGAGCAACTTTCCGTAGATCTCTAAAGCGTACTGTCTAGAGTCTTGCTCAGGAATATCTGAGCAAGCTTCGAGAGATTTTGCTTCTTCAGCTATTTCAGATTTGAGGTTCTTTAAGCCAAGATGTTTTGTATTTACATATGGATCAAATTTTAGCTTGCTATGAGTTTTACCCATTTATTTTAATATTATTTAATGTTTCCAATCATTTTAACCTTTGTGGGGTTTTGGGGTTTTGGGGTTTTGGGGTTTTGGGG